TTTTTTTTATTGTAAGAGACTTTGCTGCAAGACTTCTTCTGTGTGTAATTTTATTACCCTGCATCTGAAATTAAGATATTGTTGTGAAATATTTAATAGGAATGACTATTTTGCCCCTAATGTAATTGTATTAATACTATTGTGTCATCAGAAGTTTTTTATAAATAAGAGTTTCAGTTATAATGAAAATCGTACCTAAGAGAAGGATGATGCTCTCCTACCCACGGTGGGCACGTGTTAATATGTCCACCGCTTATGTGGCATGCACACATTGGTGATGTATTTTTTTGAATATATTAACATCACCAATGTGTGCATGCCACATAAACGGTTGGCATATTAACATGTGCCCACCGTGGGTAGGTGAGCATTACTGCCTAAGAGAATACATTTTCTTTATTCTCTCTTTCTCTCTAATTTTATAACACGTCATCAGCACGAGTCTCTTCCCTCTAGAGCTCGATTTATAATATGTTGAGAGTATGCTCTACAGTTGCGTCTTATAGACAATTCTCTGTATCAGAAATTCGATTATTACTTATTGATCTTCTCTTAAATAAATTTCATATATATGCCAGAATTTTGAATTTGATATAACCATTTTCCTTACTTCAAGCTTTTCCAAGAACTCCCATGCTTAAGCACCATCTCGTTTTCAGTCACTGAAATCATATTCATTTACATATACCTTTTGAAACCAAAAATAAAGGAAAAATCGAGATGAACCTTCACAAGTTCCTCGCCTACTTCTCCACTAGGGACAACGAGGAGCCACGTTGAATGCCTACGCACCGTCATCCTCTGTCGACAAGGAGAGCAACGGCTCGGCCGCGAGGGAAGATAAGCTGCTTAGTGCCCGACTTTGGTGCTATGCTGGGCTCGATGAGATCGCTCGGAGATATGGTTAATGCCAAACTACCGAGCAACGAAGAAGTTGTCAGGCAAAAGGAAGAGGTAACTGAAAACTATAGAGCCAATAAATTAATTCTATTAAAGTAAAAAAAAAGGGCATAATTTAAGAAAATTAAAAATAGAGAAAAGTACAACTTACAGGTAAATAAGAGTTCAGTCATGCTGAAGATATGTTTGTTGAAGAATATAATTCTCTCCCTTTTTCATCAGTTTTTTCCACCCAACAGGATCGAGGAATGTTCAAGATTATGTTGGGACAAACCATTCTCACATATTACAAAAATGATAATAAAATAATGTGCATGATTGGATGAGCCATTCCTCATGAAATGAATGTACATGATGTGTCTAGTGTTCAATTGATAATAGTGTCCCCTTGCAGGCTTGAACAAACTTAATAATTTACTTGCAAAAATATGATATTATTATGATACAATATTTTAGTAAATACTAATTTGAAATTAAATTTGGTTAGTTTTGTTAATGCTCATTTAATATGCTTTAGTCTGAGAAAAATATTTATGACTAATTAAACTATATTAAGATATGTCAGATTATGTGTAGGTTGCATGAGTAGAATTATAAAGAGCAATTTGAGGGGGTGTGGAGGCATTTACATATTTTCATAAAATAGATGAAAACAAATTGGGTCCATTCATTGATGAAGGGTAAACCCACCACCCAAATCTATGTTATTAAATGTAGTGTGGTGTATTATTGGTCTCGGTGACATGCCAAAATCCATAAATGTCAAGTATACTTGTTTTGCAAATAAAAGTCCGCCATAAGAAGAAAACATATTTTATTTTCATACTACTAAATTGATAGCTTCATTTTGAGACCAACATTAATACGGTTTATTGTATATATTGGTATTATGAAATATTTAAATTTTTCTATTGTGATAATAGCAGGTGATGTGGAATGCCATGTGGTAAGGCCATGTACAACAAATGGTACATATAAAAGGATATGAATGGCTATATATATACATGGGCCGACCAGTGCTGCTCTACCACCGGCGACGGGCAGTACTAATAATTGATAGCTATTAAGTGAAAATTAATGATACTTTGTATCTGACCATGTGAAAGTTGATTAAAGTCCTGATCGTGAACGGACATTGTATGGAGTAATCTGATCCTGAAGGAACAGTTGATAAATTTTCTAAATTTATTAATGGAGAAACGAATATATTGATGAAGTAGTACTAGAAGTTACTACATAATGATTTCCTGGTATAAGTGGTACTGGAAGCTAATAAGGCAAAATTGCATATAAAAGCACCACCTTTCATGTTTTTGCAATTTAATCACCACCTTTTGCAATTTAGCAATTTAATACACCACTTTAGTTATTTCTTGCAATTCGAATCACAAGGCCCAATTTCGGGCCTGTTCTGGTGATGTAGCATTTTTGTGGTGACGTGGTGTTTCCACGTGTCAATGACGTGGAATCTTTGGGCTGACGTGGCAGTCTATTTCAGTTGAAAAAAAATATGTATGCCTTACAGTAGGAGGATTCAAACCCTGGCCTCCAAAGGAAAAAGATAGCTATGCTACGAACTCACCCATCCATGTTAGTTAACATATTCAATAACAATTTATATATATAGGAATTACGTATGAATAAATCATATTAAATTTAGAATAATTAATTATATTATATTAAATTAATTAAATATAAAATTATAATAAATTAAATTAAATGAAAATAAAATAAATTAAGATAATTAAAATACAAAATTTTATTAATTCATATTATGTGTTAGAGTATATTATTTTATAATAAGTTATTTTGTTTATTATTTTATTTTATTTTATTTGAATTCGCCTTTTTTATATTTTATCATCTTATGTTATATTATTTTTATTATATTTTAATAAATATAACTTATTATGAAATAATAAATAAAAATAAATAAAAATCTTAAATAAATATAGTAAATTAAAAATATAACTTAAGTAAATAAAATGTGAAATAATCGTAAATGAATAATAAAACAAAAAGTGTTATTTGTATATAAAATTATAAAATATTAAAAATATTAAATGAATAATAATTTGTTATATAATAATAATTTATTATATTTAAATTTATTTTAAATAAATAAATAAAAATACTAATAAATATAATATTATTAATACTCACTCTAACACAAAATATGAATTCAAAAAAATACATTTTAATTATCTTAATATATTATTTTTAATTCAGTTTTATATAATTTAATTTAATATAATTAAATTATCTTTCAGATTTAATTTGATTTAATATAATTAAATTATCTTTTAGATTTAATTTGATTTCTTCATACGTAATGTGTATATATATAAAAGGTTATTATATTTAACAATTAAGTTGGATTGGTGTAGTGGTAGCAAAAGCTGCCCTTCAACCCTTTTGACCCAGGATCGAATCCCATATAGGGCGTGCAACATATTTTTTTTTTAATTGACACATGGGTCGCCATGTCAGCGCAAAAATGCCATGTAATTGACACGTGGAATGTCATGTCAGCAAAAAAATTCCATATAAGCAGAACGGTCCGCCACGTCAGCAGAACAGGCCCGAAGTTGGGCCCTGTGATTCAAATTGCAAAAATAACTAAAGTGGTGTATTAAATTGCTAAATTACAAATGTGATGATTAAATTGCAAAAACATGAAAGATGGTGCATTTATATGCAATTTTGCCTACCACGTTATGATGAAATGGTACTAGAAGCTACCATTGGATGATTGAACAAATGAAAAAATAGTTTGAAAAGCTACCAATTATGGATGATCACACAAAATGATTTCTCAATATATTATATGAGTCTAAAGAAAGATATCTGATGACAAGATCACGTTGATAATACGAGATCATATGGCTATTACAATGATGTGCTCCAAAAAAAAGCACATATGATAATGATTGTAGTTATGAAGTACTACACATATATCTTAAATAAAATGTGGCATAGATATTATTATTATTACTGAGGAACAAGTACAGAAGGTTCAGATGATGGAAATATGGATAAGAGATAGTGAATCCTCGAAAAATACAAAACGCGAAAATATTACATAATAGATCCCATAAAAGAAGGGTGCGTCTCGAGAGTATAAAACTCCGTAACTCTGCCACCCATGGTTGACACTTGGGTTCATAATGAGAGATCTAAAGGATCAAAAGCTCTTTTTTGCTTGACACCTTGTGTTTCCACAGAATCTTGAAGTGTGATGCATTCTTGAAGCTTTTTGATAAGCTCAGCAGCGTATCTGCAGATTTGAATACTTCTCTCGTTGGAGGAGATATAAAGGTTTGATATACTTCTTGGTCTAAAAATCCAAGCAAACCATGAAAAAAGTTATTAAAATTCAATAGACCTATGGGTTTGTCATGAAGTTTCAATTCTGCCCAAGAAGCAATGGTGAACATTGTCATTAGTGTTCCATAACCGCCTGGAAGAATGATAAAAGCATCGCCCTTGTTCACCATATCCATCATACAATCATATATAGAATGAGTTAGTGTCATGCTTATGGAATCCTTGACGACCCTTGTTGAAGCTCTATGAAAAGGTATAATACTTTTCACTTCTATCTCAAAATATTTTCCAGCCAATAAAAGATTATCAAAGAAAGTGATGCTAGTCCCTCCTTATAGTAACTTGATTTTTTGATTTCCCATATCCCTTACTATCTGACTTACAATATCAACATTTTGAGAAAAACTTACCAGTTTAGAACCACCAAGAACACATATGGTTTTGATCGGCTGAAGAAATTTATTACCTTGCGAAGACTTTGAAACATCCATCTATTGATAAACTGAATTTTTCAAAATTTTGTGAGATATATGATTATGATAAATGACTCGCTATTTAAAATGAAAGTTTTACAAAACGATAAATAATTTTACTGTTTTCTTCTGATAATTGCAACCAACAAATAAGGCGTGGGATCTTAAATAAATCTTATTTGTCGACAACTAGTAGATTTCTGCCAGTGCAACTACTAAACTTCATTAGTATGATTTTTCGTAATAACAATACTAGTTTTACAAGCTTGATCTTTTGAAACAATATTTTCGTGACTATAACGTTCTTCTTCATTTTCGAAACGAATCCATAGAGACAGAGCTCACGATGCACATACCCACTAGGATGTGTCTCAAGAATTTGTTGAATCGTTTGATCCATAGACTCTTTACTCAATCCATCCTTTATAAATGCTATTTTATCTTCTCGATTTTTGAACACGAACCCCACTGATTTACATCGTGTGTCACAAGTCCATCGAGCGCATTTGAAGCATCCGCCTAATCTTTTGCTCTTCGTTTCTTTGCAAAAGCACTCTTACCCATAACTGACATATATTTATATGAATTTGAAAACTCTTCTGACAATCGAACTTTTGCTTCAATCAACCATCGAATATCACCTGGAATATCATTGATCATTAGCACCCTCAATCTTTCTATTCGAAACCGATAAATCCTTTTTATGATATTTACTGGAACAAATGGATAATATTTACGGATATTTGAGAGTGCTAAATCCATTGGTAAATTCGGACCTTTGTTCAAAAATATTGAATAGGTTGCCTGATAATTTATAGAAATGATGCGTATACTATACGACTCTAAAAATAAATAGTCTATGCTACAGAAGGAGTGATATGCATGTGATACGATTCTGGATTGAAATATTGTGGGTCAGAATCTACACATAAAGTGCATTTATTGTCGCCGAAAGATGATGTGATATGTTTGCGATAAATGGGTCACAATGAATTATTGTGATGTTTACTAATATAAATGATAATGGTTTGCATGATTAACTGATTCTTTGTAATATGAGATTCTTTGTTCTCGATTGGTGAAATTATTACTAGCTAAATATTTGTGAATCGATATTTAATCAAACTGAGTATGAAAGGGGTACGATATATATGGGCCCACTACCCCTACATGTGTGCTACTAGATATTATGGATCCACTAGATAGCC